TACATGTGAACTTATGGAACATATCAGCTTTCTAAACTAGTGTCTGTGGCTCCTTTTTTTCTTCTTCATATTCATTTTAGGCACCTTTTCCAAGAATCAGATTTTTCTTCTCTTGATCATATCTATATTTTTGTTTTCTAGTTCATTCATTTTGGCTCATATTTCATAAATTCCTTTCTTCTATTTGAGGGGATTTATTTGGCTACTCTTTTGCAGACTTCTTGAGTTAAAACATAGCTTATTCCAATTCAGCCATGCTCAATTTTTAATAAATGTGATGGCTTCATGTACCTCCTCCTGAGAACTGCCTAGACCATCCCACAATGTCAGCAAGTGGTACTCTCATTCATTTCTGACCACTTGACTTTTTCATTCTGACTTTTCTCTAAAAACTAAAATTATTTAGAAAGGTGGTGAGAAAATTACACGTTGATACATCCTTTTTAGAATGTAGTTTTGAGTTCATTTCTAACTGTTCTATTATGGTCAGAGCACTACTTCTTTTTGGAATTAGTATAGGTCTTATTTATGGACAAAATCCTTGTCCATTTTTGTTAATAATCCTGCATGTGTCTCAAAAGTCCTAATTGGTTTGTCCTCACTCTCAGACTTGGTTATTGATTCTATTAATGTTGTCACTTCTCTTTCATGGTCCAGGTTGTCCTCATGTGTTTAGGGACTCTGGGTTGTATGTACTCATGGTATTTGTCACCTGTCTCTGAATGCATCTTGTGGTTACTATCATGGAAGCAGCTGACACAGTCAGTTTCAAAGTATTTTGAAGCACTCAACAAATGAGGGGATTCAACCCTGGGGTTTCTGCTGAAGTGGGTGGTCTCCATTAACAAGCCTGTCTTGTAGCTGAGTTTCATAGAACAGAATAACTTGCCCAAGCTCAAACCCTGTGAATAACAAAACTGGGCTCCTAACCAGACCATCTGGCCCTAAACCCATTCAGTTCTCATGATGCCTCTACCAGCCCAAGTCTTCCCAATGCCAACCAGGCCCCTCCCAGTTCCTAATGCCCACTAACCAAACAGCTGTTAAACATAATGTTTAAATATATTTTACTTTTCCTTTTATTGTTAAAAACACAGAGAGAAGTCAACAATAAGCTTCACACACTGCAAAAAGTATCATGGGTTTCAACTTTCCCCTCCTTCCAAAATCACTATACCCTTAAAATCCTAGATGAAAATCTCCAAGATGGTGGAGACTCCCACATAGGAGGATTTCCAATCCCAGACTTTGGCAGCTTAAGGCGAGGGAGACTCCTAGCTGGTCTTGCCCAGCTCTATCTCACAGATCCAGCGGTAGGGCCTCCGGCAGACATCATCATTCCAGCGACCATCATGGGTAAAGTGGGCACAGTCCTCGCCTCCTCCCAGCCCATGCCCAGTCCAGTCATCAGGCTGATTTGGACTCCAGTACCT